CCTTCTACTTCACACTACCATTGCCAGCAGTGAAGAGGGAAGGAAAGCCTGGCGTCTACTCTGTGGCAACTCTGGCTAGTTCGGGAATCGGTGTGGCCCGAGCGCCTGAGCCCTTGCCCACAGGCTAACTCCGGCTGTCAGTGAGTGGGTTCCTGGCTGTACCCACCTGTGCCCTTACCTAGAGGACAGAAGAACACATCCTCCTTCACCGTGGGTGCTGGCCCTCTTCTCAGCTTGCAAAAGTGAGTCTACCCTAGAGACAACTAGAAACTTCTCAGTCTCCACAGGGGCAGGATGGGCCCTTGTGTCCCATCAACACTACTTTTAACCTTTCCCGGCGGCTCAGGGGTGTCTGTCCTACAGAGCCATCTTCCCTCCTGCCATTTGGAAAGAGCTTCATTGTGGGGGTCTGTGATACGTTCATTCTCCTGAGATCCAGATAGGAAAAAGAAGCTCCAGGAAAGGCAGAAGACAGGAAGACGGGAGGGGGAGGCTTGGGGTGGTTTGATTTGGGAAAGGACCAGGGCAGAAGGAAGAGTGGCAGACAGTAGGAACAATGGGCTTGGGGGAAGGGGAAAGAAAAGGGGGTATCATAGTTGGCCTGGCCTGAGCTGCCCCACAGGCACATGGCATGCTCAGTGCACCTCAGCAGTACAGAAAGTGCGTGCAGCCTGACCTGCAGCCTGGGCCCCCTGACACACCAAATGGCTACCTACTCCATTCCATGCAAAGGTGCTCTGTGGCCCAGAGGTGGGCTGTGCAGGGCTTAGGGAGGGCCATTTTCCTAGGTCTGGAGACCTCTTCTAGAGGGTTACCAAGGAAAAAAGCAGAGGAGAAACCTGAGTCTGTACTTCTGATCGCTGCAATGCCACTCTGGAGTCACCTATCATTTCAGGAGAGGCCACTGCCCACCACACTCAGGCCTTGTTCTGGGAAGGGCCAAGCCTATGACACCCTAGTGTTTGGGGTTCTACTGGATTCCTGCACTGGCTCCTGCTCACCAGCTGCCTTGAGTGTGCTGGCTGAGCGACCTCCCCGCACCTAGAGGCAGCTGGACTCCTATTTATGTTTTTCAGGGAAGACCCAGATCCCGTCCAAGATTGGGGTTTCCTCCTACACAGGGCCACCATGACACCCACCTCCGTATTCAGGAAAGCAGATGGTCAAAGGTGACTTCTTGATCTTCTCGCCAAATAGATCTTTCTTGTTGAGGAAGAGAATGATGGAGGTATCGATGAAGAACTTGTTGTTACAGATGGAGTCGAAGAGCATGAGAGACTCATGCATGCGGTTCTGCAGCCCCAGGTGGGAAGAGAGCAAGACAGACAGGAGAGAGAGAGGACAGAGAGACAGGGAAAAAGAGGAGAATTAGGTCTGAGAGAAGAACTGGGCTCCTCAGCAGCTCATAGGACCCCTGTGCCCTCTTCTGAGAGGCTGACAGAATCTGCAACCTGCAGGCACCACAGTGCACCTCCCTCGGGCTTGCAGAGCATCTCTGCACTGGCTCACCCAACATCTCGGGCGAGTGGAGCCTGAGGGAGGACGGGGTATCCACTGCAGGGTCTGCTAGAATGTATGTGTGTGGTGGCAGGGCTCACCTGCAGGTAGTAAGCTGGGCTTCAGCTCTGTGTCTGGGCCTTTTGCTGGGCTAGTCTAGGGGTAGGGAATGTCCTCTGGGAGTGGTGAGGACTCGGGGCTTCTGGGGTCTGACAGGGAAGTCCTCCAGTCCTATTGGCATCCTCTGAGGAGAGATGCTCCTACCTAAGGCAGCACCTAGCAGTTCTGGGGGACTGGCCAGACCCATGCTGGGTCAGAATCAACTCTGTCACAGCCTGCAAGGGGCTGAAGCAAAACACCTGTGTAAAGTGCTGCCTTGTACTTGGAAGTCTGCTTAGCACATGGATGCGTGTGATGGGCACCCCCAAGAAGCCGAGTCCTGGGCAAGGGCAGCTTTCTCTACCCTGGGATGCCAAGCACATTCCCCTGGGCAGCCTATTTTTGCAGTACAGGGATGTTTCTGCACAGGGAGGTGGGGGAAGGGATGGTTCTCTGTTTTTCCCAGGAACCCTGTGCTAGCTTGGGGAACTTCACCACCACAAACTTGACCCTTGCATTTAAGCCCAAGCCCATAAGCAACGTAGGCTATATTTTCCTGAAACATGGGATGGAAAAGAGAAGAGACCTGGTGTGGCTATTAGGACTTTTTTTTGAAAGATATACTTGGTCCTCCTGAGAGGAGCAACCACAAGAGCTGGGGAAAATGCTGGCTCAGTGCCATGGCCATCTTTTGTCAGGAGGATGAGGAAGATGCTGAAGTGACCACCATTGGCCAGCAAAGCCCACTCTGCAGCTCTGTGCCCAGCTGTTCACTTACCTGTGTCATCTAATGTCATCAACCCTTAAAGGACAACAAAGTGACAGAGCTGGGACCCTCAAAAGCAAAGGCTAGGGCTAGGCATGCAGCTCAGTGGTGATATACATGAGGCTTAGGGTTCAATTCTTAGCACATTATAAAAACAGAGCTAGAAGAGACTTGCATATGGCTGTGGGGAGAACCAGAACTTAGGCAATGGTTTCTCAGTCAATTTGAGTCTCCCTGTTCTTTGCATGATACCTTTCAAGGAGAAGCAAAACTCTTGCATTGTGCTATCTTAATGGAGTCCACTCGAGAAAGGACAGGTAGTTTCCTAGAGCCATGAACCAGAGAAGGATCCAGAGTGGGGGACACCCAAGATTCACTGGGACACCAGCGGTGGGGAGACTCTGAGACCCCAAGGTTTCAATGAGAAACGGCTCCCACTGCACACAGGAACATCCTGCAGCTGCTCAAGGAAGAGCTGAAAACCCACAGTCAGAGGCAAGTTCCCAGTTCTACCATGCTAGTTTCTGTGGGGCTGTGTGGCATTCTCAGGACCGACAGGGAGTCACCATAAGGGGAAGCCAGGATGACCCGCGCCACAGAGGTGCCCGTCTGACATGTGGCGTGGGCTGAAGGCATTTCCCCCCAGTGGTTCTGAGCTTAGGTTTGGCTGAGGACTCCAGGCCAGCCCACAGCAGCTCGGGTCCCCACTGCTGAGGCTCGGCCCTCTACAGTACTCATTCTGCAGGCCCACTGCTGCCTCCCTCACTTTTCACTTTTCCAGCTGAGGATGCATGCATGCGCGTGGCCCCCTGCTGGGCTGCCACAGGGATGCAGGGTGACCAGGCCAGGCTCCTGCCCTTTGAGAACTCTTAGTCTAGCCGGGGAGTGACAGTGCACTTACATTAAACACATCTGGGAGCCTGGGAGTGAGAAGCAGAGGTGGGGTCTGGGGAATAGATTTGCACAGTCAGGCCTGCTTTGTGAGAAATGACCTTGTAATGGACCTAGAGAGGTCTGCTAGGAAGGTGGATCCTGGAAGCTCGGACAGTGCAGTGAAGAGGAGGCTGTGGGGTAAGGCGCCGGCACTGAGACCCCCTTGATGCCCATCCCTCTAGACCCCATCACCAAAGAGCCAGAGCACAGCTCATCCTGACAAGCTTCCCAGGAGGAAACACGCGGAGTACACTCAAATCAGAGGTGCTAACATTTGAGAAGCGGAAATGTCACAGATGGCCAAAAGCCACCCACGCCCCGCCCACTACTGCCTTCCCGCGGAGCCACAGGAGCCCTCCCAGAGCTGTCTCCCCCAGGTGCCCCAGTGAACTCTGAGAGCAGGAAGAGTGTTGTGTCAGCATCAGACTATGTGGCATTAGCACAAACAGGCCAGGACACCAGACTGGAAGGCAGCTGCACCCAGGACAGCAGGGTTGAGGTGGGCACGGTGGCCAGGCATCTGGAATCCAGCAGCCCCGTGCCCACCCCACCAGGCTGCCCCTGGTCCTAGGGCCAGCAGGGCACACAGATATTGTGCTGTGTACCTGGCAGAAGTGCCTTGGGCACTGACTGACACACCACATTACACACTAGAAAGAGCTGGCACTTTTTATTAATGACAGGTGACTAATAAATACATTATGGCAGCCAATAAATTATTACAATAACTAGAGATTTATTAAACCAACAAGTCACTCTTCTTGCAAAATTACAGTTAATATGGGACAGATGGCAGTGGTGGGTTGGGAGGTGGGACCACTGCACCTAGGAAGGCTCTGCTAAGGTAGGAGTGGGGTGCTAGGCCTACCTGGCCTGGGACCTAGCAGGGGGAGGCACATCGAGGGCACCAGTGAGAAGTGGGGACCAGCAGGTGGGGTGCTGTCCAGAGCAGGGAGGGCAGATGTGGTGGGCAGATATGAGCCTCAGGAGTAGGGTGTGGGAAGCGGGTGAGGAAGGACATGGGTTCACACTGCTGCTGATCTTAGTGCACAGGAGCTGCGGATGGCTGTGACCCATGAGAGGGAGCTCCTCCCTGAAAAGGTCCAGGACTTTGGCTTGGAGCCACTCTTTCCTTCTGTTGTTTCTGCCTTCCTTTTCCTTGACAGGGCCTTCATCTGGCTGGGCTGGGGTCTGTCTGGAGGCCCCAGCCACATTTTCTTAGGAAGGTAAATCAAATTCAAATTCTTCTCACTGAGGGACTGGGGAACAGGACGCCTTGCCCAGACCCCAGGGTCATGGCTCACACCTTGGCCCTGTTCTCTGGGATGCTGGGACCCTTCACTTTGCTGCCTGTGGCTCGACAGGGAACTGTCTAGAGTGCTTATGTTCAGCATTTCAGATCGAACCTCTGTTGAAATGGAGTTGAATCTCAGGTGTTGGCTCCTGAGAGCTGCCTGGTTGTGTCTGGAGGTTTTTAGAAGGGTCAGAGATAAGCTCAGGCAGCCAGAGAAGCTCAACAGGGGGTGGGCAGCTGCTACTGGGTCTGAAGGGAAGAGATGGGACTTCTTATGTCACCCTTCTGGGTCTGGATTACATGTAAAGAAGGCTTAAGGGTATACTAAGTCAGATGGTGAAAAGGTGGGCAGGTAGGTGCAGGCTGGCCAGAAAGAAGAGTCTGCCCCTGTGGTACTATCAGTAGGCTGTAATCCTGCTGGTGGGGAGGCGAGGCCAGAGCCCTCACTGCTGGGGCTTTGCCAACAGCCTGGGTAGAGAGCTGGGCAGGTATCAGGCTATCACCTGCCTCCCAGTCCATGCAAGGAGCAATGCTTCCGGTCCCACCAACAGGCCACTGTGCTGGGCACAGTGGCTGGGACACAGAGTTGCTTTGTGACACTGGACACAGTAGCGGTCTGTGTGGACTCATCCAGGCCAGTGGGTACAGAAACAGACAGGGCACTGAGTGGTCATGGGACCCAGAAGGCCAGAGCTACTGGCAAGGATGCAGGCTCTTCAGGCCAGAGTCGGTGGCCTTGAGTACCCCAGCTCCTCTCAGGAGGGAGCTTGCTTAGAGGTGAGGCAGAAGGCAGAGACATGGTTCTTGGGGCTGCCATTGGGCAGGGTACAGAGCTGGCTCATAGGCATCTAAGTGATAGGCACATTTTCATCAGCTTGGCAAAGGTAACCTTCCTGAAAACCAGCTTCTACTTGGCCTGCTAAATTAGAGCCAGAGTTTGGCATGACCTGTTTGGGGACATACCCAGGGCCACTGTGGATAAGAAATCCATCCTTGCCTGGTCACTCATAACATGTCCCCCCACATCCATATATATCCACGACGGAGCCAAAACTCACATTACCCACAGCTGCTCACCCTTCACCCCATGGGAGAGGCACTGGTGACGACATGGCTGGGAATAGTGGTACCCAGGAATTCTTCCCTGTTCTCCTTGAGGGCTTACAATAGACAGTCAAAGGCCCATCCCTCTGCAGGCTGGGATGGGACAACGAGTGGGAAGCAGCACAAGAGAACTGAGCATCACAGAGCATCTGAAAGTAAAAGGCCATCTGAGGACAGAGGGCAGGAAGGCCCTGAGCACCCGCCTTCCAGTCCTACAGAAGGGGAGGAATGGAGTCCCCCAGGGTCCTGACTCTAGCATGGGGCTCTGGCCCTGGGGGAGATAAACAACCCAGGGGGGACAGGTCTGTGACTTCCACCTCAGAGGCAATGGTTTTAGAGATGGTGTTTGCCAACCTCTTTCTCTTCAGGTATTTCTGATTCTGGGCTCAGGGTGGAACGAGGGGCCCAGCTGGCCTTACCCAGAGCGACCTCAGTGTTGGGCAAAATAGTTAAACAGACCTTAACCTCTCATGGCAGGACATGGACACAACTGGCTCCAAGGACTTGTCTTCTGCCGTGTGCCAGTACCTGGTACAAGGTTCAGAGAATCAAGGAGGTTAACGAATAGATGAGAAGTTGGGCTGATGGGCTGGTTCCTATAGACTGGCCACCAGAGGCAGCTGCCAGACAGAGCAGGCATTTGGCATAAGAGGAGGACGCTGGATCTCCTGCACCACCCAGAGCTCTGTGCCTGTTGGAGCCAACAAATCCAGAGCTGTTGGGATAGGGCTCTTCCTGGTTCCCAGGGAGTCAAGGCATGTGGGAGCCCAGGGATCCTGCCTGGCTTGGGACAGGGCTGTGTTTAGAATGGATACCAGAACATGGGACTTGAGGAGGAAGGCAGAGGCCTCTCGGGAGGCAGCCCTCTCCCCTTTCGTGGCACATCTGCCTGGGCTACTGGCTATGGCATCAGGCCCTGGGAGGCACCTGGGAGCATGGGGAGGGGGGCAGGGTCATCAGAATCCACCCACCTCTCTAGGCAGGGACTTCTGCAGCAGAACTCACCCACAGGGTCCTAGGACCCTCCCTCCTGGGGCCAGGTTGTATGTCCAAGTGCAAGCCCTCAGAGCTCACACTTCAGGGCACTGGTTTGCTCTACCTCTTCTCCTCTGCTGTTGGAAGCTGACAGGACAATGAGGGCCTCCTGACTCCTGGACCAAGATGGGGTGCAGTGGGGCCACAGGACATGGTCCACACTGCCCCTAGGCCTCCTGCCTTGAGGACCTCCAGCTCAAAGGCCTCTGCCCATCCCAACTGGTTTCAGTTGGTCTTACTGCTGATTTGAAGAAGGAAAAATTGGAACCGGGGAGATGGCTCAGTAGAATAAGCGCTTCTCTGAAGAAGGAAAAATATGTCCACTGATACCTGGGGCAGCTGTGCCAAGAGACCAGCTGGAGCTCTGTGCCACTGCCTCTGCCTCCTACCCCAGAGCCTCCCTCCTCCTCCCTGTCTGGCGCAGCACTGGACTCCAGCCACCCACCTTTGCAGCCAGTCATTCTCAGAACATCCCAGGCCTGGGGAAGTCAGGCCTAGGGCTCGGCCATGGGCAGGGCAGGATGACCAGAGGAGTTGGGAGGACCTCGCCAAGACCTGAGCCCTCACCTCACACAGAGTTGGCCTGGCCCCACCCTGGCTTTTGGTGACAGAGCGGCACTCAACCAGACAGAGGCCAGACAAAGCTGAAGGATGGCTCTGCTGCCCTCCAACCTGCCTGCCCCCTGTTGAAAGGCCATCTTGCCACCTGTACACCCGGATGGCAGGAGGCCTCAGGACTCTGTAAGAGCCATGGAGTGCCAGACACGTCCATTCTGGATCACATGCCAGCTTTGCCCACTCCACACCCCAGCCTCTGAACACTAAGAGACAAAGCAGTGGCTAGGGAGCAGCACCCAGGTGGTATGAGAAGGTCTCCTGCCTCGTAGTGCACGGCACGGCTCTCAGCAACCCGACCCAGCCCAGTTACCGCGCATCCAGCTGTTGGAGGGATGGAGGTAGGGGTGCATAAGGGGTGTTCCCTCCTCCCCCCTGCTGCCAGCCTCTTGGGTCTTCTTCTTTAGTGCAAAGAGTGGTCTGAGAAGTGGCAGAGCTCTGGTTCCAGGGAAGAGTGGGCAGGGGGTGGGCAGGGCAAGGGCATCTGGGCAGGGGGCCGGGGCTCAGTAGAGTCCACAGCCCCGCAGATTTTTGGCAATGATGACGTCCGTCACGGCGTCAAAGACAAACTGGATGTTGTTGGTGTCCGTGGCACAGGTGACGTGGGTGTAGATCTCCTTGTGGGCTGACTTGTTCTTGTTCTCGTACTGGGCCTGGATGTAAGCCACGGCTTCTGTGAAGGCGCTGGGGCCTGCAGGAGGAAATGGCAGGGGAGGTGAGAGGAGGCACCTGTGGGCACCCGACATGGATGGCCCTGGGCCTGGCTGGTTGGACCATGGAGCAGATGTCCCATATCTCTTAAGAGACAGCCTGTCAGAAAAGGCTGCTGGAGTGGGGAGACCAAGGGCTCAGCTTCAACAGTGTGCCAAGCAATTCTGACAGCCTTGCAAGTTTAGGATAGCAACCATGAAAGAAACAAAAAGACCAGTGATGCTGAACTTGTGAGTTTTCAATGACAACAAACAGCCGCTGTAGCCCACACGCTTGCCACTGAAGCAGACTGAGGTGTTGCAGCCCTCACCTGTACTATACGTGACTGCTGCTATCCAAACCTTCTTCTTACATACACATAGCTCACTCCTAACGATGTCAACTTCACATCTTACCATGGGTCATGAGTAAAGAAGTTCACAGGTGCCAGGCTCAGGCAGGATACCCTCTCTGTGAGTCTACAGGGCAGGGCAGCCACGTTGTGGCCACCTAGCTGCTATGGGGCAAGGAGGGATGGCAGATCTTTATCTGCTGCAATGAGTGTGTTGCCTACAAGCCACTGTGGTCCCCTTCCCTCTTCTGTGCTCACTCTCAGGAGGAGTAAGAAATGCTGGCTCCTCATTTGCATCTTCCTCAGGATGCACCATACTGATCTACTTTGCAGGTACAAGGAGAGCAACAGCTGGCTTGGGGAGGAGCAGAAGAGAAGGACCCTGGCTTTGCCCTACACATAGTCTTGCATAGGCTGGCCCGCAGCCACTCAGCATAGGACAGGCAGGGAAGAGAACCAGAGTTTGAGTACAGGATTAAACTGGGATGGCAGACCTGGGGGAAGGGTTGCAGCCATTCCAAACTCCTTAATGCAGGCCACAGGCCTGGCTGTGAGGGTCTACCAGACCACAGATTTGCTAACTGGGCTGGAAGTAAGGGAAATGTCCCTGGGACAGCAAGGAACTCTCAGACTCCCTCAGTTAGGTTCTCCTTCCTTCTTGCCCTAGTTTCAGACTGGTCTTGGTGACCAAATTACTGTATCTGCTTCCCCTGCCCCAAAGACAGGATGCATAGGCCCCCAAGATGTGGCTAGAGAGGAAGAGGCTGGTGGGTATATAGCTATAAGGGAGGCTGAGCTCTATTCCCTTCTGTCCGGGGGCTCCTGGGATCCTGGCACATAGGGTAGTCAGACTGATTTTGAGAAATTGGGTGGGGGTTGGGGAGGGCAGGAAGTGAAGAGGGCTGCACTGCTTGCCCAACTGCAGCCATGGCTCACAGGTCCCATTCTGCTTCATGCTGGGAGGCCTGAGGGTGGGCCAGGCAGAGAGGGCTCCCTCTATGTATCTCTCTGGGCAAGGCCTAGCCATCTGTGAAGTGCCGATGAACACTGGGCTACCTAAGGCCCTGCTATATCCCCACTAGTACCTAGCTGGGACCACCAGCCTCAGTTCCTCAGTGCCCTGGTCAGACTGCCTCCCATATGCGCAGGTACCTGCCCAAGGTTGGCTAAGCACCCCACAATATTGACAGCTGGCTTCTGGTCCCCAGCACTTTCTGCAACCAGTGCCTGGTGGCTTGCAAGCCTCTGTCATGTTCAGTATAGCATTTGAATCTCTTAGCCAGCCCATGTGGGATGTGCTATTAGAATGCTTCTTTGTCACCATCCTAATCCTAATGGTCAGTGCAGAGGGCACAGATTGAGAGTGGGCGGCAGGCACCATGCAGTGCTGTAGGCAGTCATTCGCTCCTTTCATCTTCATGGCCACTCGTGAGGAGAGGACAGTCCTGGTGATCATCTCACTTCACAGATGTAGAACTGAGTCACAGTGAAGCCACTTGACCTATTCCAGCTGCTCTGAGGGGCCAAGCCAGGGCTGGCCTTTGAGTAGCTCGACTCAGCCCCAGCTTGTCACCCCACTGTCACCTTGGCGTTCTTGCTGTACATGCGATTTCTATTCACAGATGAGCTCAGGCTCCCCAGGATTGTTGAGATCACATGGTTAGAAGAGGGGGCCTGGATTCTAGCCTGGTGAGCTGCTCCAACTGCTTCACTATGGCATGCTTCAGGGGCGGGGCAGAGCACAGTGAAGGAGGATAGACTGGTCCTTCAGCAGCCCCTGCAGCCAGAAGGGGCTGTGCAGGCCCTTGCTATCCTGTAGAGGGTCTTTACCTGTATATTCAGGAAAGCAGATGGTCAGTGGGGACTTCTTGATCTTCTCTTCAAATATGTCCTTCTTATTAAGGAACAGGATAATGGACGTGTCTGTGAACCACTTGTTGTTGCAGATGCTGTCGAAAAGCTTCAGGGATTCGTGCATGCGGTTCTGCAACAGACAGGGGAAGTGTGTGAGGGACGGCAGCGTGTGGGGCCCTGACCTACCCCAGCCATGACACAGCGGGACAAGCAAAGGGAAGGCCCACCAATGCGGCTGAGCATATCACTGGGGATGGAAATGGGAGAGCCTACAGGACAAACAGGACATGTCCCTGCTTCATTCCACACGCAGGCAGGGAGGGGTGGAGCTGGGGTGGGCAGGTGGGAGGTACTGCCGCCTTCCAGAGGGAGCTGGCCCAGTGGGGCAGTGAGGTCAATGGAGAGGCTCCAGCTCCTGGAGAGGACATGCACCATGCACATAGGGGCCGCGACCACCATCCAACACGTCTACACAGAACTGCAGGTCATGCAGACTTCTCTACCAGGGTCTCATTGGTTTTGCCAGCAAGGTTGGGAGGTTGCACGCATTCAGTTGGGTAACATTAACCGAGGACTGAGAGATCCTCGAATTAATCCAGAGTTGGAAGCAGACACTGGGGGACATTGTCTTGGGGGTGATCTTGCTGTGGCCTTGGTTAGTTGGGTGATTTGGTAGGTTGGTTGGGTGGTGGGTGGGGCAAGAGGAGGCTCTGGGAGAACTGGTTGTTGTCTGGTTTCTCAGTAGAGGGACCAGAAGAAATCCAAGAAGAAACACAGCAGATTAAAAATGAATAGAAGATAAAATCCCAGCAGCAAATATGGAAGAAAGAAAAACACTGAAAAATGGATTTGACCAGTCTTGGAGCCAGAAGTCCCAGGCCATGTTGAGGCCCCTATGCAGGTTCACAGAAGCCAAGGTAGGTCTGGGACTGGAATATGTGGCTGGCGGGGGAGGGTCGAGGTAGGGAGGGTGACCTTCAGCCAGAGGAGTGAAGGAGTGGCTGGTAGTGTAGGTGGGAGTGGGCTGGGGAGGCTTTCACAGCAAAGTCACCAGTGGTGCAGAGAACCTGCTGCTTTCAACTCTTAGCCATGGTTCTGGTTGGAGGGAGGTGCTTCATACCTGCTGGGCTTGGAGGGTCTCTCAGAATCTGCTCATGGATTTGGCCTTGCTTTGGCAAGATAAGGCCCTGCAGGCGGTGGTGGTGGTGGTGGTAGTGGTGGTGAAGTTGTGGCAGCCTGTGGCCTGGCTGGGCGGTGCTGAGAGCAGGTACGAGGACAGGATGAGCCCTCGGGGTCCTGGGGTGGATCCGGTGGACAGCAGCCACTAGCCCCTGGGCCCACATGGCCTAGCTCCAGAGCTGCCTCCAGACACCTCAGTCTTGGGCAGCTCCAACTCTCACTATAGGCCAGGTTAAGAAACATGGGGCTGACCAGAGAGGAAAGCTGAGGATCAAGGGCTGGGTCACTGCTGGCTATATCTTGCCTTGGGACGAACATCCAGGCCTGACAACCTGTTCTCTAGGCATGGCATTTGGACAGAGGACCAGGACCTGCTCTTCATGGAATGACATCTCCCATGTCAGGCCCTCTTATAGGTCTGGGCTCAGAGTCCTCATGGCCAGCACAAGCCCAGTCTGCCATCATCACCACTGAGGAGGCCTGTGAGGGTGTCATGATACCCCTTGACTTCACAGCTGGCAGGGTGGTACCAGACACTGGGCCAGACCCATCTGACTTGCAAGTGGCCCATATCCATCCAAGTCTGTCCACCCCCGCCCTGAACATGCAGACAACTGCTTGGTTCTATAGCAATGGCACTGCTCTTGATGCCACCACAGTAGTGAGCTGGCCCTGAGGGCTGCTGTCCGGTCACAAAGCCAAACTCCTCTCCTTGGAGGACTGCTGCTCTTCTCTGTGCTCTGGAGATGGCTAGTGTTGGGGAGGAAAAAGCCCAGGAAAGACATGTTCTTGTTTCCCCAAGGTCCTGTGCTCCAGCCTTTGTGGAGAGGGGTAGAGGAGACAGGAAAGCAGCAGGGAAGTGAGCGAAGGGGTGAGAGGGACAGTCGAAGAGGAAGAGGAAACCTAAGGGCAAGTGCTCCGGGACACAGGGCCTGCTCAGCAGCACCCACAAGGAGTTCCCAGGGGAGGCTGGCCTGGCATTGCCCTCAGTATCCAAATTCTCTGGAGACTTCAGGGCCAGGAGATGGGGTGCCCCTTGGCTGTCAGACTCACCCAGACATCTCCCTGGATCTATACTGTGCTCCAGAGGTTTACGAGAACCTCAGCCTCATCAATGCACCCCAGTGAAAAGGCCCTCCCATCTGAAACCCATGGTGAGATGCAGCAGCTACTTGCAAGTATGCCAGGAGGAAAGATGAAGGGAACCAACTTTGGACAATGTGAGTGGCCAAGGGAACATGAACAGGAACTCTAATAGCGTAGAGTCCACCCATAGAGCAGTAAAGGATGTATTGGGGGTGGTCATTCTTAGGGACGCATTGCCAAGAGCAGTGCTGGGCTTTGGGTGTTCACTGAGTCTGGCCTTAAGCATGGCCCACGGCGCGTCTGCTCCATGCTAAGTCAGGCCCAGGTTGCTGCCTATTGGACAACACCACTGCCTACAGAGGCCACTGAGAACAACGTAGCTGAAACCCAGCCAGTGAGAGTCAGCACTGCGCGGGTCCAGAACCCCACCCAGTTGGCAGCTTCCAACCCAATCTGCCAAAGCCCCACCACAGTAGTGTGAGCCCCTCAGGGCGGCGGATCCTCCCCCTTTCACACTGCACCCAGTAGCCCATACCCCAAAGCTTATCCCATTTCCACAGCAGCCTGTAGGAGCAGCAGGCCCAGGAGTGATGAGGAAATTGGAACCCGCAGGAAAGACACGCCACATAATGATGAAGCACTTCCTCAACCCCTGCTGCTGACATACAGGCTCAGAGGCTAAGGGTCCAGATGGGAGGAAGACAGATGCTAGGGTGTGAACCCACAGCTGTGAGCTCTGTTCTCAGGCCTGGCTTCCCTTACAGAACCTGAGGAAAAGAAGGCCCAAGTGCCTGCAGCTTGAGGTGGGACCGCCCACCTGGCTAAAAAGATGGATCACAGCAATGACACAACCACCAGCTTGGCCCCATGTGCCAGAAACAACACAGTTGTTCAGTTCCAAGTGCTGTATGTGTGCCATTTTTTGCCTTGCCAGCTCCTCTGAAAAGGCAGTGACTATCACTCTCTCCCTTTACAGAGTGACACTAACGGAGCACACAGGACTTGGTCTGCACTATTTTCCAAATGATTGTTCTCCTCTAATGCAGGTCTAGCAGTTCTCAGAGGCCAAAGCCAGAAGCCCCGGGCTGAATGTGACCATAGAGAGAAGGTGGGAGCCTGGCCTGGCATCCCTCAAAGACGGAGCTCAGAGCCACCTGTCACTCACAGTACACCCCATGCCCCTGCCCTTCCCAGTATGCTGACCCCGTATATCCCCGTAGCACACGGACCAGTGCCAGAAAGGGTTGTCAAGGCTAAAACAGCTACTTGTATTACATGAACATTCTTGTTTGGCTGCACCGTCACAGTTAGGACTTGCTTAATTCTGCTCTGGCCTGATGGCTCAGTGACTGTGCTGAGTTTAAAGAGGTTTAAAGAGGCACTGCCAGGGAGCCTAATTCTGCAGAGGTGTGTGATCAGTTTGTGCATGTCACAAGGCCTTTTTTGGGACCACAGAGTGAGAGATTGGGCCTCCTGGCCTATCCACAATGGGATCCCAGCCCTACAGCTGGGTGGACTGAGAGCTGCATGGCAAGTGAGGCCTGAGTATTCCCAGAGTGGCCAGTTCTGTGGCTCTCTCATGATGCCCCTGCCCAGGGCCACTCACCGTGGTTTCGTCTTCGTGGAGCACCTGGTCATAGCCGCTGAGTGCGACACAGAAGATAATGGCCGTGACGTCCTCGAAGCAGTGGATCCACTTCTTGCGTTCAGATCGCTGGCCCCCGACATCAAACAGCCTTTCAGGAAGACAGGAGAGCCGTGTCTGGTGAGGCCCCAGGCAGGCGAGGATGCCTGGTAGCCTGTCTGTGAGCATGCACAGGGGTGGGCACAGCACCTAGGGCCTCATAAGGCCCTGTTTGAGGTGCTGATAGACTGAAAGTTCTGGGGTCTGTCACTGTCATTCTGGGGATGGAGGCAGCAAGACTGTCCCAAGAATGGCTGTGCTTATGCAGGTTGATTCGAAGCTGTGCCACTCCAGATGAAGCATTCCACTAAAGGCAATGTCACAAGCCCCCACTGCCTCTGAGAGGGCCCCCTTTCATGTTAGCACTGGCACTTTGGTCTTGCATGTGTGTTCTGCATAAACTCTAAAGCAGACCAAGAAGCAGGTGGGCAGGAATTGTCACATTAAGTGGAAATAATAAGGCACCAAGGTTGTGGTGCCCAGGTTGTGCCCAAGCCCTTGGGGAGTCCAGTGGAGCTGGGGTTTGACTCAAGCCTGTCTGTGAAGTTGGGGTCAACTCCTAATGTTCTGTGTCATCCCTCCTTGGCAGATTAGCTCCAGGCCTCTCCCTGCTCAGTCTCTACCCAGAAGGGTCCGAGGAGAAGACTGTGGGCAGACAGGACATGGGTCCTCTGGTAAGAGGCCAATTTCACACCATTATCCTCTGCATGAGGAGCTCTGAAGCTCTGTGCAGCCACACATGACTGTGAAGTCATGGGGAATCATGACACCCTCACAGGCCTCCTCAGTGGTGATGATGGCAGACTGGGCTTGTGCTGGCCATGAGGACTCTGAGCCCAGACAGCTCAGAGTACAAGGACCTGGGCTCCTGGGGACAGCTACCCTGTGGCTCCAGACAGAAGACAGTAATTGTAGGCAGAGAGCACAGCAGGTGTGCTGCAAGGAAACAGGTCTAGGTCTCATCCTACCACCACCTACTGTGGGTCCCTCCTCCCAGTTTGAACCACAGGGAGGTGGCCAGTGGTCTCTAGGACCTCTCCAGAATGTGACTGCTAGCAGGGCTCAGTGGAGGTCCCTGTCTTATACTTCATTGGTGAACAGAAGGGGCTGAGGAGACTGGGAGGTAAGAGGAGCCCTCAGTGACACATGGCCCACTCCAGTGGCCCAGGTCAGTGGAGGCCCAGAGCGGCTCCCTCAGTTCTGCAGAGAGGCTGCCTGCTGGGCCCAAGGACTGGAATGTAGAGCCCCAGCCCCTCACCTGGACAGGAGGCACAAGAGCCAGGAAACAGCACTTCCCCCTGTCTGCTGGCTGGAGGTTGCAGCCCACCCGCCCTCCCTCCCTCCCTTCCTTCATGGCATCTCTCTCTGTTCCACCTGACCCTAGAAATCATCCCTGGAAGACAGGGCAGGGGCTGCCAAGCCTCAGGGGCTGGAGGTTACCCCAGAGGAACATAGCCTTCCGGCAGGCCTGAGAAACCTGCTTCACATTCTAAGGCAGATCCAGCCCCTGTTCCTCACTGTGCTCTAGGCCTGTGACTCCAACTTCTTTCATAGCCTGGGAGATGGCTGTGAGCTATTCTCTCAGCCCACAGGATCTCACTGGAATCTCTTGGGCCTACATATCACATTGTCCTCCTCAGAAGTGACTGCAGGACAGGAGTCTGCCCTCCTTTTCTATCCAAACCCGCCCTTTACTCACAGCCCCATTTCATGACTTGTATTCCAGGAAGCCCCCTTGTTCATCCCAGTCCTTAAAGGTGGCAGAGAACAAGCACACAGATAGGCAGCCTGTCCCAGTGCCATAGCACTCTGAGGCAGGGCGCTATTTGGCTGTACCAGATGAGTTAAGGCTGTCTTGGGGGTCTTCCCTCTTCCCACTGACCTCATCTGGGCCTAGCAGTCTCCCTGGGACTCACCTGAAGTGGAGGTTCTTGAATGTGAAGTGAGTTTCTACAATGCCTGTGGTTTTGACCCTGGTTCGGAGGATGTCCTGCTCGGTGGGTTGGTAGTCTGCGGCCCCAATCCGATCCAGGCTGTCCAGGTAGCTGGGGAGGGCAACACATGAGGCGCCATGGACTAGGTGCTTGGGCAGTGCTCTGGATCACAGGGCCACTGAGTCCAGTATCAGCTGGGGGCTCTAACAGGTGCCTGTAGGGGCCAGCCACGGCATGTGGGCATAGCCAAGGCAGAAGGACCATAAGGTCCTGGCCTGGAGGTCTCAGAGAACCCGTTATTGAGACCCAAAGAAATCTTGTCGGGTAGACTCAGGCAAGATTCCTAAGTAGCTTTTTTGAGGGTCTCTATGTAGGCTGGTCTTGAATTCATAGTGATTCTCCTGCCTCAGCCTCTTAAGTGCTAGGATTATGGGCATGCACCACCATACCCACTTCCTGTTATTGGTACCAGAAATCAAACTCAGGACCTTTGCCCTAGCCAGGCAGGCCCTTGTGTCACTGAGCTATATTTCTGGCCCACCCCGCTTCTATTTCTTTTAAAAATAATAATGGCCAGCAGTTAGGTTTATTTATCTAGTGGTACTGGAAATTAAAACTAGGGCCTTTGCACTGAGCTACATCCTTAGTCCCTTATTTTCTGTTTTATGAAAAAAAAATCAGATTTCATGACAAAATAATAAGAGATTAATAAGTTAATATACTGTGCATCATTATTATCAAAGTAGTTACTGAGAGTATAAGACATAAACCATAAAGATTCTTACAAAAAGAAGAGATAATAACACAAAACCTTTCTTTTCAATGATCTAAGATTATCTAGTACTATAAAGGAAATGAATTAGCATATACATTAAAATATTTTTGCGCTGGCCAAATAGCTCAGCCGATTAAAGCGCTTGCAAACAGGTACAGGGGCCAAGGGTTCAATCCCTGGGCCTGCTGGGCCAGTCCCACCCCTAGGGCAGGCTGAAATGGCAACTGAGACTGGGCATGGTGGCACATGCCTGTAATCCTAGTTCTTGGGAGGCTGTAAACAGGCAGATCACTACAAGTCTGATCTAGTAGTGAGATCCTGAACTCCCTGTAGCCCTTCCTAAAAATACAAAAAAAGAGGCTTTTTGCACTAGCAAAATAAATAACTTAGGGAAGTTATTTGAACTTTTTCCTACTTCTTTTTTTTTTTTTTTTTTTTTTTTT